ATTCACAGCTCTTGCGAGCTAGCTACAAAATGTATCAGATCTCAGGGGGAATTGGGAAGTAAAAATGCACTCAATGCAGACGTGAATTTCTGCTACAGCATTCTTGCATTATACGTAGACGACCTTTAACGCAAAGGCATAAAAGGAGTTAGTTGATCGTAACCACTACTGATAGTGGAGTTACTTGTTTTCTTGTAGGTTTCCTTACAGCCATGAGACAGGAAGTTACGAGAATGCACAAAGGTTGGGCGTTGGATTCTGTTACATTGCATAATGACATGCTGAAGAGCTTCAAAGAAGATGTCACCAGCCCACCACAGGTTTATAGTATATGGTTGAACTAATCGTTCTCGTATTGATAAGGTTGTCTTAGCAGCCAGAGAGTTGACGGTATGTGCTAAAAGTTGTAGGCACTTTTGCACCGATGTATCGTCGGTTAGGCTCTGCAGCTTAGAGGTTCCGATCCTATACGACAACGTGATAAGATCGCTGGTGGGTCAGCAACCCACCTCAGTTTATAGTATATGGTTGAACCATTCTAGTATTATTAAGGTTGTCTTATTAGACAGGGAGCTCAGCGCTGTGTGCTAAGAGGCACTCTTGCAGTGATGTATCATTGGTTGGGTTTTGAGGTTCTGATATTATATGACAACTTGATAAGATCATTTTCTCATACGGTTGTTCGCTTATCTGCAGATTGACGTGGTTAGCTGTTTCCAAATTTGTATGTCTGAAAAGTGTCGTCATTTTAAACATATGTCTGTCATGTTAAACCTGTTTTGGTCTGATAGTATTTTTTATCACGTTGATTTTGTTGTTTGTGTGCTTGATGATTTCGTAATCAGTAATTGTTGCCGGCATAAGCAGATAAGATTGAACAATGTAGTTAGGATGAGGATTGGATTTACATTTATACCGTGAGGAGGAAAACGATAAGACAGTTTAATCGTATGGCAAACAACAGCCTCTCGTCTGGTCCATGTCAAGTATAGGATTAGTTAGCCAGTTATTTATTTTGACCAGAGATTACGTGAATTAGTTTTATTGGTTTAAAATAACGTTTTTGCTGCTCCGTCACTTAAATGTAAACCTATTAATGTTTGATTATAGGAAGGAGTCTATATTCATGGATTGTTCTTAGACGGCGCCGCATGGGATCGTCGTAACTGTCGTTTGATGGAATCTCAACCCAAAGTACTTTTTGTGCCTCTGCCGGTTGTTCATATGTTTGCTGTCAATTCCACTGCACCAAAAGATCCGGCATTGTATCCATGCCCCGTGTACAAGAAGCCATGCCGCACTGATCTGACATACATTACTGCCGTCTATCTGAAGACACAACAAAAACCAACACATTGGATCATGCGTGGCGTGGCATTGCTTTGTGACATCAAGTAAACGCCATCTGACTTTTAGACTTACTGATTTGTTAGTTTTAGTAATGTATTTTAGTTAAAATATGTTAGAGTTTTGTCTTTATTAAGATAACAGCCTTTCCCATTGAAATGATTTGTTGAAGTTAATAAAAATGTTCCAAGATTGTTTGAAGATGTTTGTTTTTGGATGAAAAAAAAATATTTGTAGCGGATTTATAACAGCAATCACAACATGGCATTCAATATATTGGTCTAGTCTAGGTAATCTCTTTTACACAAATACTATAGAAAGATTTTTTGTATTTGAGTCCATAAATACGCAGAAAATTACTTTTCATAATAACGGCAAAGTTCAGCAGTGCAGTTTCACTAATAAGTGTGCTCGCGAAGTCTGTAACACAAGTTGTGCCATATAACTATTCATTCTCTAATGATATCTGTGTCATGGAGCAAGGATCTGTTCTTAGTCTATTATTCTTTTTTGCTTACACAATTGATAATATACCTGGGTGTCTGCAATCCTACGAATCGAACATGTTTGTTGACAACATCGAATTTATTCTTTACAAAGAAAACCTTATTGATATATTCGCGGTGGTAAATCAAGGACCACGTTAACAGCTTGATGTTGATTACCAAATTATGTCTTAAAGCCAACAAGACTAAATTTGGGTTATTTCATCCGAACAAACATATAAGTGTGATTTGACAAAAAAAATTGTTGCTTAATAGCAGTGACGTTATTATATACATATTCAGATTTAATGTGATCCAAAAGTTAAATACACACTGAGCCTCAAAAGATCTCGGAAAAAATATTGTAAAACTATAAATATGATTTTCACCACATCTCCAGCTTGGACAAACTGAACATAAAGAAAATGTTGCCAGTTATGTCGCGCTGTGCAATGAACAGTAAGAATACAATGATCTATCTCAGCATGTGTTAATTTGAGCCATTGGTCAAAATATTAAGTTCTTCGAAGATTAAAAAATATCATATGTTCTCAGAATATAAGGTGCAAAGGTATGAACAAAAAGCAAGTTGACGCAGTTTGCACTACACATCAATTTTCACGCCTCAACTTTTCATTGCATTTTAATGAGTTTCGAAGCCTCTGTAGTACTGATAAACATGAAAATATTTTTGTTACAAATAGTTCATTTGGCGAACTTTTTGTGACTGCTTACTGCAGAATGATACTGTTATCCCGCAACGGGTCATGTCTAGTTCAGTGGTTCTCAAACTTTTCAAGTCTTGCCCCCTTTTTAAAATTTGTTGAAAGAGTGATGCTGTAGGCCTAGTTCAATGCAAAAACAACACAGTGAAAAAAAATTGTTACATAAAAACAAGCTTGGTAAATAGATTGAATGTTCCATAGCAGTCTATGCACAAATCATGGATTGGGGGTATCGGGTTCTTTTGTCGTTTTTCGATTAGTTCAGTTTAAAATCATTGTATCCGTTCCAATACTTCCAATATCGAATTTCCACGAACGACCGCCATTCCAACAGGTGCAGTGGTCCCATCTTTTTTGCGCTCCGTTCCAACATCCACAACCAGTTTCATAAAAGGATCGAAACCTCGCCCCCTTTTCTGTGGTACCCTAAGCATGTGCTTGTATATGTTGTTAATACAGCACTCTCGGAAAAAAAATTAAAACAGCAAGCGTGGTGAAGTTATTCACAAAGCTGGCTTTCTGATTGTTGCGTCACAAATAATATGTTAGTCACACGCTAACAGTATTTCAACGCATGAAATATCATGATGTTCAGGGGGTTTCCCGAGGAAGGCAACAAACTCCAAATAATGGCGGATCCAAGTCTCATCAAAATTATTTGATGCCACACAAATACAATTTTGCTATTCTGGCAAATTGGGATCACCTACCTTGATCCTGGGCTCCTGTATTAACTTTAATATTTTATTCTAGTACAGTAGCGCTACACTTCCAAATCACCTAGCTTCGGCCGCAGGGATTCCCAAGGCTTTTGGGTCGGCGGACTGCTGTTTGTAAATTTTATTTGTGACGGACCCTCAAGTCTTCACTTGTATTATATCATCATAGCTGAAATTATAATTGCCTTTTCTGTCAGCAATGGATATTTGTCCGCTACGCTCAACCAAAAAGATCTTTTAAATTGAAATTAATCAATACAGATCAATCAACAATGCGAAATTTTGGTGAAAATGTCAGTTTTAATTGAAAACTTGATATTTCTTATGGAAGTTAGTATTTATATGGTGTGACATAAGTCTTTGTAATTTATATCAGATGCGTTTGGATGGAAAGATCCAAATATGTTTGTATATAGAAGCGATTCCACCTTCAAGTCAATTTCTAATTCCTGAGAGGTTCCTTCAGCTTGTACGGTTCATTTTCATACTAAGAAGTTCCATCGAGTAAATTAAATTCTTCAAGATGCCTATTTTAAAATAAGTTTATGGCTTTTCTCTTTCTATGAGTAATATACTCTGATTCTATGAAGCTTGGTTTTCATAACTATTCCAATGTTTAAAAATGTGAATTCACAGGGATGGCCTGCCTAGTGGCTTTGGGGTTGGAATTAAGTATCTTCAAGGCTTACACATCACCAAGGGTATAGATAAATAGGATATAATAGCGCCTCACGTATTAGTCACTGCTTGTAGAATGTCTTTTTGAAAAGCAGTTATTTTTTCATTAGGCTCTATCTATACTAGAATATGCAAAGGTTCCTACTGATCAGGGTTGGGATTACTCAATATCGGACTTGTCATTTGTCAGTTTAGTAAAAATACTCGACATGATTGTTATTGAAGGCTTATTATTCCGAGTTATTTTATCAGATCATGTCTCAGTGGTTGCTTATGTAGAGCCATGTTCAGAGGAAATGTGTGATTCACTTCATATAGAAGTATGTATAAACTAATATTTCATGTGTAACTCTGTCCCACTTACAAAGCATATTCTCTATGTGGGTCTGTTGACTGTTGTTAATTATTAACTCATCATACAACGCACGGTTCCAAGTAGTAAGACTCTCAGCGATATTGAGTAAATATATTTATGGACTTTATTCCCAGACAATATTTATTGTTGTATCATCATGAAGACTATTTAATTATCTCTGATTTAAACTCAATTTATTCTGGACCAAATGAACCTTCATAGGATGTAATAGTTTGACGTCACAGAATTCTTTACGATCTACATCGAATATTGAAATCTGTTATAACGGCGCGTAGCCATGTAGCATGTTATTATAGTATCGCAGCTAGATTATATTCTATTGTGATCTACTAAACTTTGCAAAATTGCTTGGTATTATCTAATGCTCTGTATTATGAGCTAAAGATAGATCTAGAACCGCATTATGTTTCATTAGCAGTTTTGCATAATCAAAAATCTTGAAGTATAAGTTAGTAACGAAACTTGGTATATTTCTCCTGCATTTTAGCATTTAGACAAGAAATTATTACGAAAAAGAATTGCTCTCATGCGGATAATTTGATTATTATTTGTAAGAAGAAATGGATTAAAAAAATAGTGTTTTTCACACAGCTAATGTTCGCTGAAATTCATTTTTATTAAATTTTTGCTAGATTATTTATTAGGTTAAGTTGAAACGTCAAACTGAAAAATGGGTTCTCTTGATGCATACAATTTGATTCACTGTGGGAAAATGATGATGGCACTTAACGAGTAAGTACATAGAATTAAACTCGAATTCGCTGATCAGTTTATATTGCATTCATTCAGACTGAGCATATTCAGGGTCTGGTGTAACCTAATGGCACACCTTGCTATGGATTGGAACTATGTTATTATGAATTACTGAATTCTCCTTTAAGGTCCAAACCAGAGAATTTGAACTTTTGAGAAATCCTCAACCAATTCTTGCACACTCATTCTGGAATAGCTAAAAATAGTATTATGCGAATACCAAATCATTGTATCCAGGGTGTCCATAAAGTCCCTTCACAATTTAATTTTGTTATGAAGTCAGTTCTCAATATAAATTAACCTGATCTTTTGATGTTTTTAATCAGTCATTGTTCAAGTATTTTTACTTCATTTAATATATCTTTGAGGGCCAAAACAATATATGGTATTGTTTTGGACACCCTATGAATATATATATTTATATATTCAATATTTTCATGTATCACGATCCAGCATTCTTGCACTTTCTTGAAACAGTTGTAGCGTACCGGCAGTCTATGAAATAATTTTTTAAGTTCAGAATATCTTCCAATATGGTCTGTCGTCAAGTTCCTTCTCAATATTCAATTCAATTTATGATATTTTATTTATTAATTATCAATCTTAATACAACCAACAACTCCAATGAAATCAATGAAACGTAAAGCATACAATAAAAATAACAAATACCAGGCAGTACAATGTAAGAAAACAATATACACAATAAAAACACTGAAAATTAAAGACGGACCCTGAAATCGGAAACATCTTTCAATAGAAGTAAAATGTATGTATGTTTATTTGCCTCAAAAATGTAAGTCAGCATAATAATTAAACAGTAAAACAGAGACGGGATACATGTTCAAGACCTTACTGGCCTAAGACACAGATGTGCGACATGTGCCCCTAACAATTATAACAGCAGTTTAGGACTGCTGCGTTATACAAGAACAACAAACAAGAATTTGACTATACTGTACAAATAAGACTCTAGTAAAATACACAAAACAAAGTGGTACGGCACAACAACGATATGTACAATAGTCAGTTTATGGCACGTCCATTTCCCAGGTTCCGGTTAGAAAAGATGGAGATAGGGTATGTGTCGCTGAATTGATATGTTGTTACAAGTCTCATGAAGCACGTAAAGATTTGTTCGGGATATAAACTTGCCAGAAACCAACATTGGATGGGGCCACGACACGAGAAAAAATTTGTAAAAGATAAATGTAGAAAACCTTTGTTTAAACTTGAGTTGTTAATCATAGTTTGCACTGGACCAACGCAAAAATCAAAATTTCGGTAAGATATCGTATTTGTCGATCTTTTCCGGCCCCGGGGAAAAAATTGTATTCTACCCGTAAAAAGAGGTCTAACACTGTAACTTGTTGCAATAAATAATTGTGGCGATATCGAAATTTTTCAAAATTATGATACGATAATCAAATTTTTCGATTTTTTTTCGATTCTGGGGGTAAAATACGAAATTGCCAATAAATAGAGGACTAATATCAGAAATTATTCTTGTATTAATATTTATTTCAATTTCAGACAGAGAGAAAGTAAAGAGCGTAGTGACTTCGCAATTATGGTCGGCGATGAGAAAATACAAGCACACAGGAATGTTCTGTCAGCAGGATCAGATTTTTTTCGTGCAATGTTGTCTCATGACGTAAGTGTTGAATCATAATTTATCAATTATAAAAGATATTCACTTGTAGAACTAATAATTAAACGAAATGCCTTCCCAGTCCCATTGTAAAAAATATGGATAACTACATAAATGAACCAAGAAGATTATCAAGAGAATAGATTAATCTATTGTCTTATATTTCAGAATGTTGAGAGTAGCACTGGCATTGTGGCAATAAAACAAGTTCAATACTCAAGTGTGAAAGCTTGCATCAATTACATTTACACTGGTAATTTTTCCAATCCTGATCGTGAGGAGCGTGAACAACTAATGTTTACCACTCATATTCTCCAGTTACAAGGTGTGTGCTTTATGGTAATTCTCTTAAAACTGACATTCTGTAATAAATTGGAACGCCCAGTTGAACTTGGGCAATAACTTGAGGTGGACTCCGTATTTGCTGTGATGACCAACAGCAATACAGCAGTTCAAAAAACACATAAATGTGCTGTGTGAAATCTATGAAGAATTCTTCGCAATTCGAATTATGGGATATTTACCGGAGTGACAAACAAGCCATTTTAAATTCACTCAGAAGTTACGAGGTTACATGGAGACCGTCAAATACTTTGTAATTAGATGGCTATTTTCTAGTTTATATGTGAAATTTCTATTGTGTGTTTTTGACACAGGTATGTGTGATAAAATTGCCATATCTCTCAAGGAAGAACTGAGTCCAGAATCGTTCTATTCAACAAAGATGATCGCAAACACTTTTAACTGCACTGGTTTAGTTGAAAATTGCAACAAATATGCTCTGGAGAATTTTCAATCAATTGTTGCTGAAGATTATTTCAAACATTTGGATAAAGATTATGTTTCTTTCCTGGTGGGATCAAAAGAAGTCAATGTAAGAAGTGATAAAAGTGTATTTTTCGGAATTGCTCATCTCTGTGGGCTGTATTCTTTCATGCCTATTTCAAGATGAATCTGATGTAGCTTGTTAACATTTTTATATACAGTTAATATTATTATTAATCATAGATATCCCAGGATAACAATTGAAGTAATGAAATCTTTTCACATGTTGTTTAAATTTGACTTCTTTCCAATTGTAGGCCTCTGAAGCTGTCAAGTGCAAAACTTTGATTATCTGGACCAACTTTGATTTAGAGACCCGGGCATCGAAATTCGCAGAATTATATGGTAATCTGGATTTGAAGAAAATATCGGGGAATTATCAAAAGTTTTTGATAGAGAAAGTGGTAGATAAAATGTTTTTAAAATATGATAGTTTCTAGAAATCTTGTTCCGAATCCGAGATAGTTTTAGAAGTGCTGGACTTTGAATTTCTTCGCTTACAGTGAGTTTTATTTGTTGACACTATAATTTTGAATCTATCCAGAGTACATGAGATTAATTAATCCATTCTGAATAGGAATTATTCTAGTATTAATTTTTCATTCGTGTGTATAGAGAAAAAAAATTTCCATATTTAAATGAAAGGAAACGAATAGCAGATAGATTGTAGTAACAACTGACCAATTCATCACCCAACTGCATAGACTCAACTGGTACTATATCGAATAATTTTATAATTTAATCTTGTATATTTACTGAAAATGAATTTAATTCTGTTATTCATCCTTTAGTCTTCGACTCTAATCGTTGACTCAGAGCACTTCTGAAGATTTCAACTAGTGGATCGTAATTTGTTGCTGAGGATATTGACATCAATAGTAAGTATATTGGTTGATTTTATTAATACTGTGAAATATGGCTTGACTTTTTATTTCATTTTTTCTCTTTCAGATCAAGTTCAGTCGATTAACGGTAAGTTTATAGCAAAAGCTAAGCTGTTGGTTGTTTGTGAAGTTGTTGAGTTCATAGCCTTATATAATATTTTCAAATTATTCATTCCATAAAAATTACAGACTACATCATCTATACCAGTATACAATTTGAAAATAATATCAGAGCTGTCCTTGATTTAATTAGAAATTTCCAAGACATATACGACTGGAATTGAATCAGAATTAACTGTATTTGATATTCTGAATACTTTATTTCCGGAATAATTTTATTTATAAATTTAGAGCAATTTGGTTGTCTCGGAATAACGTAAAAAAATTTAAAGATGAAAAACTGTTGAAATTAGATGCTAAATTCGGAAAAGGTAAATTATACGTATTTGAAATGGTAAATTATCTCAATACCCTAGAGCAGGGGTCGGCAACCTACGGCCCGCGGAGTAATATAATCCGGCCCGCGACGCTTCACTGAATTATAGTAATGAAACAGCTGTTTTGACTATGGTATTCTTTACGTAACAGAATTTATTGTGAGACACGTGTAGACTGAATTATATCATAATATAACAAGTATAAAGTTCACAATTACTCGTTTGATGAGTCTATAATTTAATAATATTTAGACAAATGTCATCAAAACGCAAAAAAGTTGATGCTGAGTGCAAAGGGTTCAATGGCGCCGAAAATATTCGAATGGAATTTTTTGAGATGCAATGCAATGAGGAAACAAGAGAGCTACGCCCAAATATATGGACACGTCTGTTCGCAGTACAGTACGATTTACCGTACCTTCAGATCACAGTCTACAAATATATTCACACCAAGCGAAGCAGTACAGTAGGACACAAAATGGAATCCGATGTACGCAGAACGTTTAATGACGTCATAGCAAACAAAAACAAATCTCACAGAACTAACAGAAATATTTAAAATGAATAAAAGTAATAATCTTCTGGGGAAAAATTTTATCTTTAACCACTGAAAATTTCAAAGCAATTGGTCCAGTATTCGAAGAGAAAAGCGACTTTTTAAAAACGTGTCAAAGAACAAGGACACTAAGAACAACAACAACATAATATTGAAACGATCGCTATGTCCACTACGTGTCCAATAAATCTATATTCTATTAGAGAGATGTTCCACTGCTTGATTTTTATGATAAAAAGTATCATCCGTTCGGTTTTCAACTTTCTAAAATTATGTGCGGCCCATCAATGACTTACAACCCTTACTTTTGTCCCGCGAGCGACAAAAGGTTGCCGACCTCTGCTCTAGAGAGTACTTGGACATGGTTCTGAGCAGTTGGTATAATTTACTACAAGGATTAAATTCCATTTGTAGGTGGCTTATGAGGCAAAACAAGATTCAAGATAAAACAAATAGGAATTCAGTTGGTGCATGCATACATGTGAGCAGGAAAGTTAAGTTGAATAGAAATTGTCGACTTACAAAGTTTGATTCTATAAAACATTTCTTCATCTGGCTTTGTACATTAATTTTGTGAAAAAATTTATGGTTACATGACGATTGCCAACCTAAAAATCTAAGTTATTTTTAATTTCATTCTATTCAGGTTTCATCTACTGTATTGGAGGGTCTAATGGTGGACATATGTCAAATGCTATGAAATTCAATCCATCAGATTCAACATGGACGAAACTTCCTTCAATGCCGACTGATGAAATGGTGCAGCAGCAGTTGGGAAGACTTAATGGGAAGATTTATGTCATGGGTGAGAAATTATTTTTAAATATATTTTGCGTTGATGATACACTGCGAATAGGTTTCATAAATCAGCCACGCAGACGTATGCAACTATTGGAATTTTTTCCAAGCAATATTGACGTAAACTCACGTGCCTGAAATCCAAGAAACAAAATAAATCTTCCGAATATAATTCGAATGATAGTTTGAGATAGCTTTCTATGTTACTTTCAGTTTTCAGGCGGACACGGCGGCATTCATTACTCGAACATTGTGGAATGCTTCGATACAGTTGCTGAAACATGGACCACTGTTGCCAGATTAATCATCCAAGAGGATTTTTCAAAGCCTGTGTTGTTGAAGGAAAGATATTTGACGTTGGAGGGTGAGTTGGAACTTGATTTATAAACTAAGATATTCATTGCACGTATCTATTATTTAATCAACATGTTGCTTAGACCTAGGCTTACCATACGTCCCGCTTCAGGCGGGACAGTACCGCTTTTCAGCGTCTTGTCCCGCCGTCCCGACAATTCAGCCAAAAGTCCCGCTTTGGCGTTCAGCCATCCAGCATAATACACAAACATGTTCTCGTTATTGTTGTTGCTGTATAGCGCAACGCTAGCCTACTTACTGCAGGTGAACGCGTTATTTTTTTTGTTTCGTTGTTCCCCGCTAACATTGTTAGCGAACGTATCACATGTAAAATCAATTCCAATTGGTCCTGTTCGGACGTTCAAGTGAATGTAACATTAAACGACGTCTTTTTGTAGATGTTATCTACAGAAAAGCATGCTTGGGCGAATAAGTAAATTCTCAATGCTTGAAACTGCGGCAGACTATTTCATTATTCTTTATTCTATTTGCTGTACATAAAAAAATTCGGATCATTTGTTTTGTTAGCGTCTATTCCTTTCTATTTTTCGAACTGAACCCGATATTTAGACAGAAAATATGCACATGGACTCTCGAAGACAATATGGTCAATGAAGACTGCCGGGATGACTTTAAATGTAGGCCTATGTAGTAAAATCGGAAACTGTTAAGTTACAGGATCACAGCTAAGGGGTCGTGTCTTTCGAGGCGTCCCGCTTTGAAGAAAAAAAAATATGGTAACCCTACTTCGACCAAAAGTGAAAACAACCTATTTTGTGTATTAGTAATTCAAACTCTGAATAAGCAACCATTCGGTCGTACAAATCTGCTATGACTGAAACATCGTTATTTACAGTCATAGCAGACCGCAACTCGAATTCATAGAGATTTGAAATTGTAGATATCACTGGGTAAAACAGAAATCTAACCTAAAGTGTGTTCTATCGCTTACTTACCATAATTTGTACACTCGTCAATTCAATAGAAAATAATAAAATAAGTAAAAATTCAACCAATGTATAACTATATATATCAATTCTTGTATTTACCATTTAATTCTTGAATTACGTCGCTATTCTTTGCAGAAATAATTCCAAGAACACAATAGAAGAATATGATCTCGCTGTAAATTGCTGTGAATTTGTTGAAACAATAGATGGAAAACGCATTGAGAGTTTGGCTTCCATCGCTTTAAATGTTTTTTCATAAACAATGACTGAATATCCCACGCCAATGCTTTCAACCTCAACCTTTTTACACTGCAATGATTGAGAACCACTTCAATGTCTGAGAACTTTTACTGATATAATTTCATTCTGCAAAACCCAATCTATTTATGTAAAAATTAGAACTTGAGAATGACTCTACTTGTATTTCATAATTGAGATATCTAGAATGTATTCATTGTTTTAGTTTCATAATATATATATATACACAATATATAATGATTATTACATTGTACCAATTTTCTTTATTAATTTAAAGTAACATTTAATTCTCGTATGTAATATGGTATGTAAAGAGAAAATTGCAAAACTAAAAATAAAATTAGGTCATGTCTGTAACTCCAGCGATATTATTTGTCAGATTTAGGAATTATTGCCAACTTTATTTTACGAGATATCTATATCTGCACTATCAACTGCCCTTTAGTTACTGTGCGACTCATTTGTAGATAAAGCTCAACTTAATAAACATATTTGGTGTCGTTGTTCAAAAACTATTGCAGTTTTTTTAGTGCCTGAATTGCTTTTCTGCATTGTTCATATAAAATGTTTATTTCCAATTTCGTGAAAAAAATAAACTACTGGTTACTAAACACTGCGTAACTTCGTAGCCATTTACCGCCATCATTACCCACAACACGTTCTTGGAAAGGCCTCACAAACGCTTTTTGTGCAATTGATAGTCCATTTAAATGAGTCTGGTAAATCTACTAGTTTGCACCATATCATCGGCAGATCGGAATACAACTAAGAGCCAAGTAACTGCTGTTACAATTGAATGTTAGTATGGAATGAGAAAGTATTTAGATGAATCCGGAACATCATTCGTCGGTGAAAAATTCGAAATGGTTGCTGTTATGGATGAATGATCAATATTGATTCATAAAGATATATTCCTGATCATGTATGGTCAGCCCTGATTCTGTTGTCTGTATTTTGCTGTTATTGTAACAAGGACAAAATTTTGACAATGTGCAGCTCAATATTCTTTCACACTTGAACACCTCAACATGATTTAAACCATGTAAGCAGGTCTATTGCAATTCGAATTAGCAAACAGGGTATTCAGACAAATTTTTGTCCAAAATAATATTAAAAGTCAAACATCTTCGTTATCTTATTTATGCGAATGTATGACAATGTTATTGAGCACGAGGTATTAGGGTGTTATCTGCGATATTTGAACCTGATTTAGGAGGATCGCATTCAGTTGCGGCAGTTCACATGGCCAAATAAGCCTATGGCTTCGAAGTTAGCTCATATATCTGAGAATTGAAGGCACTAAACTCTGAAACAATCTAAAGAAAATTTATACATGAAATCTTGATTAGTGTTTTTATTGTTTTCATTCTTAAATTTTGAATTATTTCATTTATTTATTTTAAAGCAGGTTCAATCTATGCATTTGAAACGGTAACGGTAAAACAGTTCAGAAGTTTGATCCATCTGATGGAACTTGGTCTCATGTCACTTATAACCCTGTGAAAGGATATAATAAACAACAGTTGCTGCAGGAGGTAGGTTCGATGAAGTTATATTAAAAATTATTCATTGTTTGTGTTGTCATAAATTTAACAGTAAGTTGGGCGCCATAAAATACCCTGGTTAGTAGTTTAATGTAGACTTGGGTGTATTGGTGACAGAGCATATGTATATGTGATTTGGTGGAAGCACTTTGGTTACATAAAGCTTGCCAATTTAGAAAACGAATTTATTTTTTAATTGATTCTATTCAGGCTTTATTTACTCTATTGGAGGCTTCAATGGTGAGCGGACATCGAAAGCTGTGAAATTTAATCCATCCGATTCAACATGGACGACACTTTCTTTAATGCCGACTGCAAGATGTGCTGCAGCTGCAGTTGAACTTGATGGAAAGATTTGCGTCATGAGTGAGGGTTTACTCTTCCATATATTTTGTTTTGCGCATGCTTTGTAAATCAGGTACTAGATATGTAGCTATCCAGGTGTACATATCTCCTGCAAATTGACAGTTCACTTTTCACTTTCAATGTAGCATAAGCAAATTATTGGACACGAAGTGGACATAACGATCGTTTCAATATTATGTTGTTGTTGTTCTTGTTCTTTGACACGTTTTTAAAAAGTCGCTTTTCTCTTCGAATACTGGACCAATTGCTTTGAAATTTTCAGTGGTTAAAGATTAATTTTTTCGCTAGAAGGCTATTACTTTTATTTATTTCAAAATTTTGCGTGAATTCTATGAAATTTGATATTTCGTCTAAAATTTTGCTGTATTATTTTTTATCCATGGGAACACGGATTTTAGTCAGTGTCATGACTGGCTGTACGTTTCGATTCTGCAAAATTCTTGCTACTGGAAATTCAGAACTTTTTTGAGGGTACCGGTAGCGTCAAAGGTACCGGTAAGGACTGATTCGCTCTGGTCTGACGTGTCCATATATTTGTGCGTAGCTCTCTTGTTCACTTACCAATGCTGAACTATGAGATCTCTGTACCTGTATTATCACATAGATTTATTAGTTTAATTTTTTTAATTTGATATTTTTTCGCAAACTCTCTTCAAAATGCAAAATAACTGCAAATTACTCGCAACAATTATGAAGTATCTTTATCTAATACGAGTTTCTCAAAATTACAGAATTTGTTTGATTTGATAGTTTGAAAATAATTCACAAATAATACACAGCATTTCAAGTCATATTGGCATGATACCATAATAAGTATTGAGAATCACCGATCCAAATTAAACTATAAAATAATTTTATCGTTGTTATTGTTTCACAAAGTGGATACAACATCAATGGTTACTTAAACATTGTGTAATACTTTGATACAGTTGCTAAAACATGGACCACTGTTGCCAGATTAACAATTCAAGATCAGCATTCAAAGCCTGCGTTGTTGAAGAAAAGATATTTGCTGTTGGAGGGTAAGTTGGAACTTGATTCATAAACTAAGATATTTATTGCACGTATCTATTATTTAATCAACATGTTGCTTACACCATAAGTGAAAATAACTTGTTCTTTGTATTGCTAATTAAAATTCTGATTAAGCAACCATTCGAGAGTACAAATCTGCTATGGTTGAAAGATTCGACTCCCACATTCCAACATGATTAATTGCAACCTGGATCGGGTGATTTCCATGTGCCGATATCACTGTGTGAAACACTAATCCAACCTACCTAAAGTGTGTCCTATTGCTACTTAGCCATCATTTGTGCTTTCGTCATTTCGATAGAAAGTAATAAAATAAGTAAAAATTCAGCTAATGTATGACTATATATATCAATTCTTGAGTTTCATTCCGCCGTTATTCATTGCAGGAATAATTCCAGGAATACAATAAAACAGTGGTTCCCAACCTGGGGGTCGCGAAGGTCTTGCAAAACAGTAGCAAATTATACAAAACTTTAGGTTAAATATTGTCAATAGAACGCGAAGTCTGGAATGGACTCTTGTCTGCCTATGAGAAATTTCCACTAGCTGTCGTGAGACCCCAGAATGTCGCATCTTGCTTGAAAACCAAGCAAGCGGCGCGAGATGTTTATGGCATGTTAACCCTTGTGACGTCACATGAACTTGTTTGCATTTCCGCGCGCCGCAAGCCCGCAATGCGGAAAACACGCGGGCTTCGTGGAGCGCCAGTATTTTGATACCAAGGGGTTTCCTGCAAGGTAGGCTTGTAGTCTATGTTGTTTCATCTTGAAGATTATCATGCATCCTGCTGTAACGTTATAATTCCGTTATTTTATTTACCATGGCGAAGAGGCGATAATAGGAAAATGAAGTTATGAAATATGGAAGCGGATTTTTCGCTCTTCTTCATATAAAAACAAAGGCACGGAATCAAATCGGCGCGGCGGTGTGGCTCAACGGGCTAAGCGTTAGGAATACGCTCGCCACCGCACCTCTAATTACTCTGCGTGGGTTCGCAGGTTCGAACCCATGCAGGGATGGTTATGTGCGAGAGGATTGCTGGATGTCGTTGGGTGGTTCACGTAACCGCTGGTCGGTTACGGCTTCCTCTACCACCAAGTTCATGCCTCCGAAAACAAACAATATAACTAATCCCATACCCGACTTGGAATGGTATCCGGACGAGAGGCCGTGGTTCGCCATATGGATAAGCCGTCTTGTCGGCTTTCCTCTCCCCGGGATAAATATGTAAATCCTATCCTATCCCAAATGAAAGTCGAGGATGATATGAGATTAGCTTTCTCAAGAACTAAACCACGAATTACGCAGTTGGCTACACGGTTTCAATGCCAGTCGTCACAGTAAAACTGCAGGTTGATGAAAAATTAAATTACACAATATTCACTTTGCCAAGTGCAGTTTCAAGTATTTTATGCCGTCTGAAATTGCCTCAAAACCATGGCGGGACTTCCAAATCATGGCCGCTATGGCCAAACCCATAGCGACTGACTTTTTAGCTGCCACAAACCAAATTGAAACCTAACCACGGCATGTCGGCTGTAATGGCAGGGCTGCCCCTGATGGTGATAAATATTGGTTTTAAGTTGGAACATTTTTCTTATAGATACAGTTTTGTTGGGTTTGGGGTTAGGTTTCGGGTTTAAGTATATATAATTCCGCATGATAAACTAAAACCTGGTACACGACTTTGTGAATATATCGGTAATAACGTCATAACCACGACAAGAGCTGCCATTGGTTCGTTAGTGGCAGGAGCTGCCATGAAGCGGTAAGAACTGTGCTGTTTATTTTATTGATAAGTATAAAAATTGAGACAGGGTTCGCGAGGTATGTGTAAACCACCAAAGGGGGCACCACCCAAAAAAAGATTGGGAACCACTGCATTGAAGAATATGGTCCCGCTGTAAACTCCTGGAAAGTTGTTGAAACATGGATGGTAAAAGTATTGAGGATTGGGCTTCCATTGCTTTGAATGTTCTTTTATAAACAATGACTGGATATCCTAAATGCAAATGCTTCCACCTGAGCCCCTTTACACTGCTATGATTGACAATCACTTCAATGATTGAAAACTTTTATTGATTTACTTATCCTACGTGTTTGATCAAAACAGCAGATTTTCAATCTATTAATATTTTTTCTTTCTCGGTGGGATTTCACATTGTAAAAATATTTTATTCAGCAAAACTCAAACTATTCAAGTCATTATTAGAACTTGAGATTAACACAACTTGTATTCCATATTTGAGCCTCCATATATCTAAGAATGTGTATTATTTTGATTGGTTTAGTAAATACAACTGCTTTAGTAATTACAAATGCTTTTGCTTTTTTATATCGGAGGTTCGATCAAAGCAGCAGGTTTTCAATTTATTACTATTTTTTCTTATTCGGTGTGATTTTATATTGTAAATATCATTTTATATAGTCACAACGGAAACAATCCAAGTCATATTAAAACTTGAGATTAATTAGATTCCGTTGCTGAGATTACATATGTCTGGAATAAATTGTTTGTGTTAGCTAGGTAATTAATTACTAAATAAAATATTCAGTCTCAGTTTTTTCTTCATTATTAATATGTAATTTTCGATGATATGTAAAGAGAAAAATACAAAATTGAAATAAGCTCGTGAGTGTATTTCCAGCGATATTATTTGTCAGATTCAGACTTTATTGCGACATATTTTTTATGGGAACTCTCTTACATATAAGTCATTGCTCGATAACCAGTGCAGTCTCCATTGGTCATGAATTACTCTTTCTGCACTGTACATGTAAAATATATATTATTATACTAGAGTATTCAAATATATGTATATTTGCACCACAGTGGCAGCCTTTTAAACTTCTGCAGATACCTAATCCATTGATAAAAAATCTCGGTACCTCGCTTTGATCAGAATTATGAATAATTATCTCCCTATGAAAAGCCTCGAAAGCGAAGTGAAAAGGTCCAATCAATTCTGCGTAAACACAAAACTATAGATTAATTCACTTGCTTTTTTGGAAAGTCTGGTAAACAACTACGCCCCATCACAGCTAGTATTCTAATAAAGAATGGTTCACTCCGGTTCCGACAATTTATCCCACCGCAAGACATCCGTCAAAATCTTCAGGTGAGTCCATGTTCCCAGAACTAAAATACTATCGCCAACACAGAAGTTGGTAATAAAATTTGGGAACCTTATTAAAATGTCTGTTAAGTATCCCGCCGTGTTGCAGAAGAGTTTATGACGCATAACAGCCGAAGATAAATTTGCATTTCGTTGCTGTGATCATTTTTTTTCAAAGAAAAGTATCCAAGTTGTTCGACGTATATTTACTTCTGAGATTCCTTGTGTGAAGTGTAGCCAGATGTTTCAAACTTTGTCATTCGATAGTTAATTCCATCGCAAACAACCTGATTTCTGAGTCTGGATTTAGTGTAATGTGTGTATTGAAAACGCAGCATCAAAAACAACTGAAAGTCGAAGAATTGCGTCTATGCTTGATTAATACTACGCCACGATTTTAAAAACTCGATGAAGCCAAGGAAGCTCTTTTTTTCGTGCAATTTCTAGTGAAATAAATGTTAAGTAAAATAATTGTCTTATAGTTTGGATTTTTATGTCCACAAAAATACTGCGAGTATAGTTAAACATCCCGTCCCATTTTTCTCTCCCCCGAGATAAATACGAACAATTGTATTCTTCAGTTACCTCTTTTCGACCAGTATTTTAATAACGTAAAATACCCGACATCATGAGCGTAGTTGACCGGTTTTTGACTCATTCATGAATAATCACGACTGTTTGCTAGACGGGGAATCCCCCGTATTGATACATCAGAATCCGCTGTTAGTACGCAAGTGTTTATTTCGATTTTTCAATACAACAAAACAATACATGGCAAGACAAACAAATGTACGGAAAATCAGGAAAGTTGGCAAAATCTAAAAAAGATTTAAGACGTGCTTGTGCACGTGCTGTTGTTGTCTGGAACCTTGTTTGTAAATCAAGAGCTGCAGTTGTCAGGCTAAATACTGTAAATATGCATTACACAAAGTTATCCAACCAGTTTACGCCAGGTCAGCACTCAGCAGGTCGATCTCAGTGTAATCGATGGAATTGGCTTGGATTTACTAGAGATACATGGAGTTAGGCCATATGCTCAGCTTAAGTGAGCTTTGTTGACAAAATTTGCACCCACGCAGGATCAGAGATTGACTGCATTTTTGCACACTTCCGAACTAGGAGATATAATGCCTTCTGAAATGCTAAAACGTTTGAAATTTTTAATCGGACCTGAACGTTTGCAGGAAACTCTTGCTAACAGTCTGCTCAAGAAGGTATTTTTAGAAAAGTTACCGTCATCTATCAGAAATATTTTGGCGTCAAACTACGACAATACAGTGGACTAATTGGCAATTCAAGCGGATCGAATCAGACAAAACTCGGATTTTTCAAAACAAGACACAACGAGGAAACTAATAGCAATCAACAAGGTTCAGGATCATTAAAATCAAGGACTCGACACGGAAGGACAACTAGACCGCCGCAGAGAGACGATTATGTTTACTATTAAGTGCCTCGCAATCTGTATGTATCTTTTTGTTTATTTGTCTAGTCTGCCATTTAAATCTGCTTTACCAACTCCAACAGTTACAGTAAACCTATGCCACCCCAATAGACCCAAAGCTGAATACTTTATTCAGAAGCCCAATAATTGTACTAAGGAGACACCCCAAACCATTGAGCAATGCTCTGTTACGGTACATGAATTATCTTCTAGCTATACAAATATTACTTTATATGTGTGTCAGAAGTCTGCTACTAAATGGTCTAGTCATTATTTTTTCTTTGGTGTACATTCGAGTAAACTGACTTCTACCATGATAGAACCACCCACCCCTTTATATTGTGAAGATTGGGTACACACGTTAAAAGCTGATAATATTGGAGATTTAGAACCCACTTCCCCAAATACTTGGTCCACTCAAAACAAGGCAACAGTTACTTACAGTTGGCCATCCTCGAGACACGGACAAGTGATCAATGCTCATTTGTCCCGTATTCAAATTTCGTATGATCCTTTTCATGGGGTAATGTTAGGTGCTTTCCCTTCAATTTCCGCCTGCAACATATTAACTGGGTCATGCACGTTAGAAAGTCAAACTTTAATTTGGAAACACCACCCTTTAATTGATTGCCCTCAATACCAAACAACTGTTACTGAACTTATTTTACATTATAATTCTTCTAATCAGATTTACCGCTTAGATTTTCCAAAACTTGGGCAATCAATCCATAACTGGGGTTCATGTGGCAAGTCAGTTAAAATATGTTTTAAGTCTGATACTTTTTGTACCAATAATGATTTGTTATTCGAAACGCAACAATGCATTGCACTTGATGGTTCATCCCTTTTTACTCTTAAATATCCCGCCTTTAATTACGATTATACTGTAAAGAATTTTTCAGAATCTTCTGCTCTAATTGGGTTTATTCAAGAAAGCACTGATAGGGTTTCCAAGGTAATAAACAAATTGACAGCAGATATTAATTATTTGGAATGCCAAATTGAAAGCATTCTAACCACTAATATTAAACTCCTGTCTAAACAATACCCCGGTAAGATCCTAAGTCAGTTACTAGGTGGGAACAGAGCAGCTATCACCGTGGGTGATATATTGACCGAAATTGAATGCCAACGTATTAACGTTACCGTTCTTAGGAACCTCTTTTTACAGGGTAACTATGCTACCCGACCTTTAGTGCACTTTATTAATAATAGCAATGAAACGACCATTGCACAAATATTCCCTGATTCTAACGCTTATGTGGGTATTCATTTTTTTGAAAATTATACGCCTGGTCGTATATCTACGTTTCAAGTTGACGGTCGGTTCTATAACTACGTCAATTATACTTTAAATCATGCAGATATGCATGTAAAATTTCTGAGACCCACATTCAAGCCTTTTGTCGACAATTTTAATCCTATCGATTACACTGAAGAATATAACGAATTACCAAGGGAACACCAGGGTTATGATGATATTAATAATATGTTATTATCAATCAGCCACATTAACCTTATTCGAGAACGAATATTAAGTGAGCAAACCCTACCTAATGCAGATAGCACATCAGACACTGATACTGATGTTATCTCACATGAAGTGCAAGACACTTTTATTCATGCCCTCTCCTTCATTAAGACGTCAATTTTATCAGGTATTTATATGCTCTTATTCCATTTATCTCTCATTTGGGCCACTATTTGGACCGTTTGTTTTATCAAGAAACTTTGCCCAAAACTGAGAGATGAAGGACTTCCTAGAATACAACGGCTTCGGCAATACTTGGCTGCTCGCAGGGAACAAGTGAACCCTGTTGAACCACCTCAACCTCTTGTGCAAAACAATAGACAAGATCAGGGGGGTCAAATCTATCAACCTAGACCAAATCTCAATAATAGATCCAATTCAAACTTATACCCTAGTCTGGCAGACTAGTCGAATAGCAATGCTCATATTGTACATATTATACTTTAACATAATTTCTTTCTAGCATGTGTTTTACAAAGAATTACTTTGTGCATATACATCAATACCTATACCAATAATATACCTCATGTATAACTACCTCAGTAATAACTATATTTACTCTACCTTTATACAGCTTGAATATTATTCTTTATTTTTAGTTGAATTTCATGAAAACAGCCTGTCATTTCCGCCTTCGCAGCCCAAATTGCATCCTTAGAATTCTCCGAACTCGTGCGGGGGAGTTATGTAGCCAATTAGTTATTATGTAACTACAAAACTACACCAAATTATCCCAATTCGTGAGAAACTCATGAAAAACAGAATTAGTTATCCCCATTATAGCAATTATCAATTTCTCAAAATCCAATTTCAAGTTTTAATAGCCTTTCGGTGCCATCCCGTGTAAAAATAAAATTCATTTCCAGTAATATTCCAATAACAGAAATTCGAAATATCTTGTTAAAACCAAATTATCCACTTGAGAACAACTTTTTACATCTCATAATTGGAGTGTGTACGTGAACACGGTGACTTGGCAATGACAAGTTAATTGCTAGTAATGAACTTCAAGAAAACACTTTTAATAATGTTTGATTATAGTGAACCGAGAGCTAACCAGAAACCGGAATGAGGCGTGATTCTTTAATCGTTAATGTAAAAATCTGTTTCTTTATTCTATTTTAATTGCTTGGTAGAAAGCTATATATTCAGCAATGTGTTTTGTGTTAATCAGACTAGATTTGATCTAATTGTGTGTGCATTGTGTTTCTGTATATATTGTCGGAATTGCAATAAACTCATGTTTCATACTAAGGTGTTTTCAAACGTCTCCTTACTACAGCCGAAGGCTATCGACAGATAGACAGTTCGAGTTAACGAACGCAAGACAAAAACTATTGTCAGTCAATGCTGGGGTTATAATACATAAACCAGACCAATCTACAAACAATCTATGTGTAGTGATAACTAATCACCATAGATGTAGGTGATATAGTTTTGGCTTTTTTGACTTTATAGTATTTTGACTGGGAAAGTATTTCATGGGTGAGGTACCGGTACGGTTACATGCAGGCTAGTGAGGCTACTAAGACTAGGCAATATTTCATATTGATTGCCTGTTTGTCGTAGGTTTATAGTAGATATATTGAGTTGGTTGTTGTTGTGTGGTTTTTGTAAATTATACTGAAACTGTCATGGTAAAACAATTTTAGTTGTTTTTAATTTTCGAAAAATTGAAATGCAATAGTTTGATTTCTTTTTGCATTGTTTTCTTTTCAAAATGTAATCAGCATACTAAGTTACAGTGAAATTCTTGCCAAAATATTTAAGTTATCCCTAAAAGCCGACAAATACACTTAATGTATGGCCATTTCTCCATTATCTTGTATATAATAATGCAAATGTCCAAGAATATGATTAAATGTTTTGTCATGCTTCGGCGATGATGTAAAATCAATGTTCTAATTAAGTACGAGTTTCAGTTATGCAATGTTAGTCCAGAAATATAAATAATCTTTGCATTGTAATTTCCATGCAGAATTTTGAAAATGTAGTTAGCATGAAACTTTTTTTCTGATAGCACATTTTCCTCCAACTAGAACTATTATTTATCAAGCTATTGTGGTTGATCTGTAACATAGTGAGTTTAGTTAATTCTTTCCAATCACCTGGAACTTGAACAATGAATCTAACTCTTGCTGATTATAATTTGAAGCACTGTGGAAAAATGATGATGGCGCTGAACGAGTAAGTACATAGAAATTCATGTAAATTTACTGCTTTGTTAATATTGCATTTAAATTAGACTGAGCATATTCAGGATCTCATGCGATGTAGTACCTAACTGCGATAGGGCATTCGAATCTTCCTGTTTTTAGCGTAAGCTTTAGAAAAATGCATCAAAGCTGACAGAATTATTACACTTGAAATAGACGAAGAATATTCCGCCAAAAAAGTTTATACAAATAAAAGTTAGTGTGGACTATAAACCTAGATATTATATACCTATGGTATTGATGGAAACTATTAGGATTCAGAATAATAATGCCAGATCATGGCATTGAATCATAATAAGACATAATATACCTTCTGGGTGGTGTAATTGATTAAATTAAATTTATTAGTCTTAATAATTTATTTATTGATAAAATCTTTATATTTTGCTTAATCAGTAACATAGTCAGTTTTTTAGAAGTCTATCTAATCTTATTACCAAAATTTGAAAATAACATATATTTTTCGTAAATCGCTATGTATTTATTAATGGAGTACTTAAAATTTAAGTTAAATTTACTTCCTTTTTATCATTTCTTGAAATTAGATTGAGTAATTTTATAACTTTATGAAATATGATATTACGCCCTCCTACAGCATTTTATTGTGCCTTAAAAATAGTGTATCCTATCCAGAAGGGTGATACAAATAAAACTGGCAGAATTATTACCCTCTTATTCGGCAATGAATATTCCGTAAACCAGTTTTTAGTTTGTATGTCATAATTCAAATTGAATGCTATATTTGGATTTGTTGAAAACTGTTGCAAGCCAGTAATTTTCAGGTCTGGATCGTATTCTTCATTTTCTTTAATTCACTAGATTATCACTGAAGCATAACTGGTCAGAATATCCCTATTTCAGTACCATTGCTATTTTGTATGGAATCTTTCAAGGGTTCTGAGATGAATGTACTCTATTATGATATAGACTCCTTTATAATAGCATTTCTGGTCAGACAGCCAGCTATTCTCATTTCAGGAGTGGAGTATATTTTAGTATCATTGGGCAATTTCTATCAATTGAAATTATTAAACCATGACCAAATAATTTGTATATCAGTTACTATACTGTTATTGCCTTGCCACTAATTTTACTTATATGTTTTCTTCGATTCAGTTTATCTTAGGTTAGATAGGGTTAAGTTAGGTAAGCAAAAGTGTTGAACAACATAAGAGAAGCATAGAAAGGTGGGACAATGACTCAATAAAAATTATTCTACTGAGATAAAAATTAAATTGAACAAATTAGTGGTGGGGCTATAACAGGATATCGGGGCAATAACAGGATAGATTTGATTATTAGCGTGAGAGCAATTCGCAAATATATAAATAGTCATATAGTAGTGATGAATCTCATAATCCTCATTGTTTCCTCAATCTTGTGTCATTTATTATATCACAATGGTATTGAATTACACAAATTTTATGTGTGTTATTAGTGTCAATGACTCGTTAACAATTTTACGGCATGAATAATGATGATGTGTTTCCTCAGCTTTGGTGAATTCCAATTAATCTAATCTATATATATAATTGGTCATAAGGAAAAAATTTGAAGTATTTAGGGTGACACATAATTACAAAAATAATCCAGCAATCCTCTCGCACATTACTATCCTCGCATGGGATTCGATTCTGCGAACCCACGCGGGGTAATCAGAGGTGCGGTGGCAAGCATATTCTTAACGCTTGGTCCAATGAGCCACACCGCTGAGCCAATTCGAGATAAACATGATTGATTTCATACATGAAGAGTGTTACAAAAATACTTAGGATATGGAGCCGTGGCATCACATATGCAGTGTTCTTCATGAAGAGCAGAATATACAATGAAGTAAGTTGGTGGAATAAGGTAAATATGCTGGGTTTTTGAGTAAAGACAAAGTATCAAAATTCACTGTAAACTAAATAATACATGTGATGAAGCGATGGTCAATTTTTCATATCTTCGATAGAATGATACTATAAACTGTAAAGCTTCCGCTGACAAGAAAAGAGCTACTAACTTTAGCAAGAGCGGAGATTTCTAGTTTTTCATTGCCTATCAAATGTATTTCATCTCATGTGGGGGGTTGGAAGCGGCTTTAACTGTTAAACTACTTTCATAACTGACCAGGGGCGCCATTCGCCAAACTTCTTTATCGTTTAACGTGTTAGTAAAGGACCCTCTTTCTCGTAAATAGCAAAATGGTATTCTCGAAGTATCGTTAATATTCCAGAGAAATTGTTTGAGAGAATTTTTTGCGCGCCGAAACATACGTCTCGTAAAGTGCCTTCTTCTTTCATTTTACCGAGAATCGGTATTCATCAAAGTTTCTTAACGCGCCGGAGTGCTCGCAAACTAACGAGGGGAAAATTTTGCTCGTTAACAGTAGTTTGGCCTGTTCTTAGCATGAATTCATTTTAAAATGTATGTGTGCTTATTTGTAACAGTATCTACATAATAATGAAACGGTATAATTAAGACGGGATACATGTTCAATACCTTACTGACCTAAGACAAATGCTGTGGTGTTTGCATACTTCGTGAAAAATTGGTATCAAAAATCCCTAAATGCCTAACTTAGGTAAGAGTGACTGTAGTAGCTGTGGGCCCACCAATATATGCCAACTAACACCGTACTAACATCAAATATGGGGATTACATATTTATCTATTTTATTGTCTGTTAAAGAAGTAGTTCACAATATGTATCTCGAGATTTATTTCATTCATTAATAGATTACTGCTATTATCAAAATCTTTTCATTTCAATCCTAACTTTTAGGCCTAATGAATCTCTTAGCTCAGTCTCATTGACTGCATGTCAGCCTTTTTCTGAGAATGTGATTCAAAATGATATACATAAATATCTATGAACCTGTTACTCATTTAAAACACTGTCCCATTTACTAGGCATATTCTCAATGTACGTCTGTTAACTGTTGTTAATTATTAACTCATCATACAACGCTCGGTACCAGGTAATAAGACTCTCAGCGATATTGTGTAAATATATTTATGTACTTTGTTCTCAGACAATGAGATCTACTAGACTTTGTAAAAGTACTTAGCAGTACCGGTATCTAATGCTATCACTGATCCTCGAAAGGTTCCATTAGCAGCGTTACATAATGTAAAATAGTGATTATAGTAATGAAAGTAGTAATGAAATTTGTTATAATTATTTTGCATTTTTGCTTATGTAAGCAATTATATGGAAAAGAGTTGCTCTTATGGGGTAAATTTGATTGATATTTGTGGAGAAGAATTGATTAAAAAGTAGTGAATTGCGCACAACTGGAAAGAAAAGTCATGTTTATCTTATTTTTTGTTAGATCAGTAACATATTGAATTAAGGTAAAACTGAAAAATGAATCCTCTTGATGCTTATGATTTGAAGCACTGTGGGAAAATGATGATGGCCCTTAACGAGTAAGTACGTAGAATTAGTGTGAATGTTTTACGCCACATTACAATACCAGTCAATAGGATGTAAATTTATAACTACTCAGCATACTGGCGAGCAACTCACAGCATACATAACAACGTCTTCACTTCAGTGAGTAGCCAATTAGTATACAACGTATGCAAATTGAATGCAATTACGCCACAAATGTAAGACAATACAAACGTTTACAATTATAAAAATTGCATCTTTCAATTACAGACAAAGAGCAAGCAAAGAGTATAGTGACTTCGCAATTATGGTCGGCGATGAGAAAATTCCAGCACACAGGAATGTTCTGTCAGCAGGATCGGATTATTTTCGTGCAATGTTGTCTCATGAAGTAAGTGTTACATCATAAATTTGTGAACAAATAGAAGTGATGTTCTTTTATATTACTAATAATTAAAATTTATAAGATGTTATAAAATAATTTAGTTAGATCTCCATTTTATGAGACATTACAAAATGTTCATCATATATCTACCCTTTTACAAAGTATTTGTGACCATAACTGCACACAGAATTTCAGACGAAATTGTTGTGTATATATCTGTTACTGAGGTGCTAGACTTCATGTGAAAAGTGAGATTTAACTTGCAGAGACAAAATCTAATCCATAGTGGTATATTTCAGAATGTTGAGAGCAGTGTTCACTATTAGCGCACTTTTTTGCGAAAATTGCGAAGCACTTTCGCAACTTTTTTTAGGGACTGCGAAATAGCACTTTTTTCCGATTTTGAAGAGAAATAGCACTTTTTTCCGATTTTGAATGGAATAAAAATTCAAAGTTAACAAATATTTTCGAGTATTAAGTTGACAAATAAGTAACATACTAGTACTTTTGTAACTCAATTCTGCATATCATAACGATATTTACCGGAATTCTAACCTATGAGATGCAGACATAGGAGATAAAGCTTTTGCATTAACGGCAAAATTCTTGTTTATAATATGATTATTATACAAGCACACCGATTCCGCTTCTCCCGCAAAACGCTCCCGTCTTTGAAACCAGATGTTGGAATACTACGCAGTGCCTTTCTTTGAACGAAAGTGGTCATGTGACTATCAATGATATCGTTGAATTCAAAATGACTATAAAAGTGTTAGTAAAGTGTTATAGTCACTTTGGATGTATTGTGACCAAAGTGCACGATTTTCAAATCAGACGAAACTTTTAGCAGCATGTCACAGATTTGCAAAATCACCAAATTCACAAAATACCATTAAGTGCCATTTTATTGTAATCACAATGTTGAAAGCACGTGGCATTTTGCGATATTTACACAACTATTTCTCATTGATATGCGAGTACGGGTGGGCAAAATTCAATATTTTATTGAATTGAATATTTTTAAGAGTACCGAATAACAAATATTTTGGAACGTGGTGAAACATTAAAAAATCGGCAACAAAGCCTTTTTACTGGTTAATTCCGTTGTAATCGCTAATTGTTCTTGTCACCGATCGTTTTGGCGGCGATATCCAGGTTTTGTAATCTATATTCCCGCCCTCTCTTTTTTACAAATATGAATTCTTGCGGGTCGGCGGACATCGAAGTTTTATATTTCGGGTTTACCCGTTTGTTCACATCGGCAACAGCTGTTGAAGACATTGAGGACTCAAATTAACATTTGCGTTGGCTTTAATATTACCTATCAAGATTTGTAAATTTACGTCCCAATTTTATGCGAATGGTAATATTATGCGATACCGTGATCTGATATTTATTTAAGAGATATAATTAACTTTCTCATGTTTTCTATGGTGATAAACTTGGCAAATCTGAAATTGTGCCAATCCTGAATGTTTGATTTAAATAGTGGATTGAATAATCGGCATAAAGGCATTCGCGTGGTCATAGACGAGATACGTTAATGAACAGCACTTCTTTTACAGGATATTTTACGTATGCGACTTAATGCTAAAAAGATTGGACTCGAGTGCTTTTTTTTTTCGAAGAGGTCAGGCGCTAATTGTAACTAATTCCCTCAAGTTTCAACATGTTTTCAACAAAACAATACCCCGGCGATAATTATAGCTAAAATGTTACCGAGCAATTCACAATTTTATTTATGGAATTTGAAATTCACCAGTTTCTTGACGATATTGATAATGTCACGCCCTAATTATTAGTGCAAAAAATACTCCCCTTCTTCCGCGGCGGTTTGACGGGTTCTTTGTTCCAATCTTCAGAAATTTCTGACACGGGGGATATAGAATACTGAATCCGGAGGGTTCAATCCCTGTCGACTTACTGGTGATTTTCCGTTTTGGAATGCGTGGAACATTCTCTATTTTAAATTAAATGACGTTTCGCGGGCTAGAGTTCTCCCCGAAAATGATGTGTACCAGACGTTAGTTAGACGATAGATAAAACATTAGAATAATATATTTCATGACGCCCCGTTTTCGAAAATACAAATTATATCGCAAAAAAAATGCGTTTTGATACATTTGGAATGAAACATTATTTACGGTTAATTCAGATCATATTTTACTCTTCATGACACCCGGTATCCGAAAATACAGTTGTATTGCGAAAAATGTGTTTTGTTACATTTAAAATAAAACATTTTTGCGATTAATTTAGATCATATTTTATTTTTCAGGACACCCGTTTTCGAAAATACAAGGTTATATCGCAAAATGTGTTTTGTTACATTTAAAATAAAACATTTTGCGATTAATTTAGATCAAATTTTACCCTTCACGGCAATCCGTTTCCGAAAATACAAAGTTTTATCACAAAAAAATGCGTTTTGTTACATTTATTTTGCATTCCCAACAAAATACATATTTTCCCTAATTAAAGTCGTCGATGAATCTGTTCCTGTCGTCAAGCTTGACACACGTTTGGACGAGTGTGGGGCGGTTTTTGGTCGACGATAAATTAAAAAGTTGCCACACGTTATTTGTATAACGATAATAACTGAAAATTAGATTTTATAATAGAAGTGAATTTGTCTCAAGATGGTTATTTTACGATTCTTGCCCACAGAAAATAAACACGCTGACAGGCTTGGTTATAATTGATATTCGTTTAATTTATTTTACACTATTAATAAACGCGCCACACCAAGTGCGGCCATATAAATTGCAGTCGCATCGGTATGGACTGTATGTTTTTGGCGCTCTCACATTAATTATAATTTTCAACAAAACAATACCCCGACGGTCATTGAAGCTGAATTCGTTACCGAGTAATTCACAATTTTATTTACGGAATTCGCAATTTCAAAATCTCACTTGACGATTTTGATGATGTCATGCCCTAATTATTACTGCTTAAATGCCTCAAAATACAACAAATGTAATCATTTTCGACGATAACAGGCGCAACAAAACGAAATTCGCGATTGTTGCGACTCTCTCTTGTTTACAATTTTAACATCCCGCCGGCCATGTATGGTCGAATAAAATGTTCACATATTCGAAACATGACTTGGCCAAGGATGAAAGGGATCACTAAAAAGCTAATAGAAAGTACAAACGCGAGGGTATGATATTAATATCGAGAATATTTGTATTTAAAGTTAATTGATCGAATAGGCCTACAGGAAAGTATTTATTTATCATCTCACTTGCGAACATCGAGGTTTGGGCGGAATTGTACGATCATGTTGTCTTTCTTAAATAATAACTTTTTCAATAAATGTTCATTTTACTTTTGCGTCTTTATTATATGTCGGGTTTTCATTAATTTTAAATTCGAAATTGTCCGAAATACTCCAACAGGTGTATAAGTACAATAATAATAGTACTTACCAGGGAAGTTTAATACACACGATGTGTTAAGGGCGTCGTAACTCCCGTTTTTTAATTTGATTGTTTTACATTCTGCTTAAAAAAAACGTCGTTTTGCAGTCATCTAACGTAACTCTCGCGACCAAAATCTTTTTTTGTTTTGTTATGGCATCGTCTTGGCGACGAATTTATTGCCGACTGAGTTTTAAATTGTGTTTTAGGATAAGTTATTTTCTGTTTGTTGGTTTCTAAACTTTACAAACGTGGGTAGCAATTACTATTAATGTGAGATTTGTGCATATGAACGATTGAATATCGCGACTGGATGTCCGATATCTGAGAATGCGTATATCAGCGTTCATGTCGAATAAAAATTATTTATCAAATGGATTGGTATTTCGAGACACTCTCAAAATTATTTGGGATCCACTATCATATCATTCGTTTATTTATTATATTCATGTTTTTTTCAAGAATCACCCTCGTTATATTTCGTGTACCTTCGCAAAAGAAAACTCTTTGGTGTCATCGTTCCAATTAGTGTAATTGAAATATATGAAAACCTCGCAAGTGGCGTTGTGATGCGAATATTTGATACTAGGTCAGCAGCATTACAAAGAGTGCTATTTATGAATGCTGAAAGTACATGACATTACTAAACATTTTGCCAATATATGATGTTTTCTGCCTGATTTAAACTAACTCGCACGCAAACGAAGGCATGTCGACATTTAAAAATTACTTGTCTTTGGGTAAGCTCTGAAATAGTATAATATAAATGTAAATGAGAAATTAGGTCACGCTAGCTCACGAAATGGGAGGATTTTCAAAGTGATCTTGTGTAATATTTCGGAGAAAAAAGTTTAAAAGGAAAGTAGGTCAATCTATCTCCTAAAACAGGGAGTATCCTGTGTAATATTTCGGAGGGAACATAGGTTAACCTATCTTTTAAAACAGCGGGTGGCGACTTTCAAAGTGGTTCAAAATCACAAATTAATAATTATCAGATTAGGTTTAGGGATAAATCGAAAAGTTGAATAGCGCACCTAACCCTAATTAGTTGATTGCTATTTATATTTTGGGGGGGGGGGGTATTTTGCACGGGATTTGTACAAATGATCCACCCTGTAACTAATATGGTTTCCAGCCTACGTGTATCAATCGTTGTCTGTTAGATGGAAGGAGTAACAAATGTGAAAGCCTTTGCTGTTCAAGCGAGTAAGCAACTGACACCGTGATACATTGCATGAAAGTTTTGTTCACGGCAAGTGTTAGCAGATGTCTTTTCGTTGCCGATGAATTGGCTTGTTTTAATTAAACATGAATTCGCTTAAATGGAACTCGGATAACGGAAAGGCTTCTCTTTAATTCATAATATTAACCGGAGGAGCGCTTTTTCGAGTATCTATGCCTTGTCAAATGGGTTATATGAAAGACTAGAGCACCTAACTTGTTAAAATCGGCAAAAGCACTTTCGCACTTTTTTTTTCGACTGCGAAGCACTTTCGCACTCATAATTCGCTTAGAGTTAACACTGGTTGAGAGCAGCACTGGCATTGTAGCAATGAAACAAGTTCAATACTCAAGTGTGAA